TGTTCTTCTTTCCTTTAAATGTGATTCAGCCGCAGGAATGCAATCAGATTGATGATTCAAGGAAACAAAGAAGGAGTTACTCCAAGAGATACTCCATCACCGATATGACTGATTCCCGATTTACATATTTTTCTTGCTTTTCCAAGAGATACTCCATCACCGATATGACTGATTCACGCAGATCGAGTAAAAGGAAACCCGCGAAGCGAAAGCGTTCCGCCGAGCGACCCCCTACGAAGAAACCCAAACACACACCGGCCGAAACTAGCCGGAATGTACAAACTGAACGGCAGACAAGGGCGGCGAAGCGAAAGGAGCCGGAACCCCAGCAAGAGCGTTACGACACATCTGAGGAGATACCTTCGGCAAGGGCCCCATCTGAGATTCCTAGAGGTTGGACGGACGAGGAGAAGCATGAGTATTCCAGTCTCTCTCGGCTCAGAGTACTCCCTTCTAAGCTCGTTCACCACAAGTTCATGAAGAGGTTGGGGATTTACGAGGACTTGGAGATGCTGATGAAAAATATGGGGCTTGGGTCTCTTTTTCAACTACCAAGAATTTCTCTACACCAGACCCAGGGAGAAGAAGCCTAGTGAAGGACGCTTAATGTTTAAAATTGCAGATCCGCTCCACACACTTTCTGTCTGTGATGTCTGCAAGGCCTACAACTTCAATGACGGCCCTTTGCATGACTTCCCAACTTTCCACGAGGCGGCTGATTTTTGGGCTGTGATTGGCAGTGGACCTTACAAGGACGGCTCCACCAAGGGCACCTTGGTCAAGAGCCCTGTCCTCCAGATCGCTCAGAAGCTACTCGGTAATACTCTCTTTGCGAGATATGATAATAACCAGGTCAGGGTCGATGAGTTGGCTTTGTTGTATCAAGCTGTCAGAGGATTTGTAAGGAAGAAGAATGGGGAACCGTTCACCTCAGATTTCTCCAGTGTGAACTTTGGTTGTATATTCCTTCGGGAGCTGAACAGAATCAGGCCTTGGGCAAAGAACACTCCTAACCCAGACCTCTACTTTAGCACAATTCTCTACCCAATCTTCTCCACCACTAATGCTGATTTGACAAGCAAATACCATGACAGCAAGATAGATTTCGTTGGGGAAGACTACCTGAGCAAGTTTCTGATTTTAGGCGATTGACTGCTGAAGTGGGAGAGCATTTTTAGTATGTTTCCGAACATATCCCAACAAGTTCTTCTCACTCCGTCTGCCGAATAAGCAGCTCACCGCCTTCGACTGTGAGGAGAATGTTATGTTTGACCACAAGTTCACGGAATGCCCTCCCCCAAAATCACAAAAGAGAACATCGGAGAAACCTCGGCCGATGCCACACCCTTACTTCCTTAATATTCCTGACATCCCATTTAAGCCTCGAGGTCTCAGGGAACAGTTCCTCCAGGTTGCTTATCAAATCCAGAAACGGGTCAACATAAGGAACGATGTGCGCTTGAAAGTAATTAAAGAATGTTTAGGCATCTCTCATGCATTCACCATGGACGAAGAATCAAACAGTGCAGCAGAGGAGCTGTTGCGACTGACACTCCACCCTCACCATTCAGAGGCCTCCACATCTGGCCACCCTCCTAAATCATTTTAAAGGTACCACCACCTCTCTTTGTATATATCTCTGT